TTTCTTTCTTTCTTTCTTTCTTTCTTTCTTTCTTTCTTTCCTCTTTTCTCCATTGTTCTTTCTCTCCGTCCCCCCTCCCTCATTTCCTGCCCTTTTTTAAAGCTAAAAAGTGCTTGGCTTCGCTTGGTTTTGTTTAAAAGCTGCTTGTTTTTAAACGTGTTCTGTTTAGAAGGTGTTCCCTCCCCCCCTCCTTTCCTGCCCCTTTTTTGACCTAAGTTCATCTTAGGTCAAAAGAAGAAAAATTCTTCCCCTAGTGGTAGAGGACAGATTAACTGGCTTTGCATTAGTTCCTATGGGAACTAATGCTTCTACTTGTGAACTGCGCCTCTAGATAAGAACGAAAAACAGCCAGAACGGATTAAATGGTTTTCAATGCATTCCTATGGGAAAGTTTGCTTCTATTTACGAACGTTTCAACTAATGAACATTTTCTGGGATGGATTAAGTTCATTAGTAGAGGTTCCACTGTATGTCATCCATTACTAATACAGTGGGGTCTTGACTTGAGAACTTAATCCATATTGGAAGGCGGTTCTCAAGTCAAAAAGTCTGTAAGTCAAGTCTCCATTGACCTACAGTGCACTGAAAACCGATTAATCCCGTAACAGGCCGTTTTTGTTCCATTTTGGTTTTTTTCTGGTCTGTAAGTCAAATCTCAGTCTGCCAGTCAAACCTAAATTTTGAGGCCAGAGAAGTCTGTAACTCAAAAAGTCTGTAAGTCAAGCCGTCTGTAAGTCAAGGGTCCACTGTAACTACTTTTCATGAGTCAAATTATGATCCAACTCTACTTAAAAGTTTCATTGTAAGCAACTTCGGGTTTCAGGAGTGAGGAATATACTTAAGTACTTAAGTACCAATACAGTTGGTAAATAATAAAATAAACAATTGTTTGGGACTTGTATATTAATCATTAAAACACAGCACCTTTAAAAGTTTCATGTTACATACCATTATATTCTTTTCGAATAAATCTTTCCAAACTTGCCAAAATCTGCTCTCGATTTTGTTGCTCTGAGAAAGGAGGTGACAATTCATCTAAACAAACAAAAGTGAGGCACTGAGCAACATCTCATGGTTAAACTTAGATATCGTCTAACATTTATCTCACTGAATGTTTTACTAATATCTGTAACTCCCTACAGTCATCACACAACAGAATTTTCTACTTAAAATACAAGTGTGTCACACTGAGTATATGGCAAAAGCACTAAAGAAAAAAGGGGCCAAGACCATCAGTAAAACTGATTTAGCTAATAAACCTACTTTCCCTTGCTGCTTTGGCTATCTGTTATTGCCACACTTGCAGCAAACTCCAAAGCATCCTAATGATCTTAAATTAAAACACAGGAGTATATTCTACCATCAATCATATGAAAAGAACTCATATTCTTTCACGTTAAGAAAGATATATTCCAGTTTAATGTGAGAAAAAAATAGCTTTTATTGTTAAACTTAAGAAAGCCATCTTTTTCAAAACAGCAAAGCTATACTTACCAAAACATTTTTTACATACTAGATCAAGTATTTCTCTAAATCTATTTGTCATTGGTGGTAGTGGTTTTAAATCAATTTTCTTAAAATCTTCTGGGCAGTCATTTTTGGAATGGCCATCTCTTTTGCAGATACTGCATACTATAGTTGGAGGCTAAAACAGAAAAAACATAATATTTTATATTTAAACTCTTCAAATGAGGGGTGCTATTCTCCCTAAGAATAACCTGAATATTGCAGAGGTAAAGCATTGGGTTCAAGCACCAGCTCATTCCAATGGACTTATTTTGAGAACATAACTCTCTTTTCAAGGATGTTTTAGAAATGGGAAAGGGCATAAATAATCAAATATTTCCAAGCAGTTCCCACAATGCAAGACAGCCATTCATAGGAAGCTATTAAAAATCCTGGATCCTATCCTGAAGAAGTTCAATAATCAAAAGCATACATTAGCCACAATTCTGTCGTACAATTAAACAAAATATGTGACTTTAAGTGGTAAATTGCTATAGGTTAAGGAATTTGTGTAGCCATTATGTGGTGCATACTGCATCACAGAAGTTGGTATGCAATAGATAATACCTACACAGATTTCTTACCTTATAACTCATCTTTATGCAAAAGGCGTAACTGTGCAACAGAATTTCAGCCATTCCTTCATATACCTGTACTAAACTAGCTCAACTCCAATGTACAAGAAATATCAAGAGTAAGAAAAGGTTTTTGGGGGAGGATCCATACTAAGATTTGTTGAAAGAGTGGGGGAACTTCCACAGCATCTGAATTTCAGCTGTTTCTGAATAGTAAGTCTTAGAAACCCAGAAACATTCTCTCAATAGCATCTGAGCAATGAATAAAAATATACATGGAACTTAAGCATTCCTCAGTGACATACCAGTCATTACAGAAAAAGAAAGAAAGAAGAGAGAGTGAAAGAGATCCCTATATTACAGGAACAGGCACAACTGAACATAACACACTTCTCTACATACAGTATCTTAAGCAGAGATAAAGAAAAGGCAGAACTGTGGTGACAAGGAATAAGCTAAAAAAACACAATGTAAGAAATGTGATGCTGAGAAAATAAATACATGACTTGGCAAATTTTTGGCTTAGCACAAAGCTGGAATAGTTCTTTTCGCAGCAAGCACAAGCACACTTGATATTCTAAAACATAACTGCTTTTTTTGCTTCAGCAGACCCAGCTGTTCCCCTAGAGTTAGGTTATTTGTGTGCACTGAGGATTTTAATAGTATGCTTTTAAAATTAAGTAATTAATTACATGATATCAAATCAATTCCTATATCTTTAGCCATTAGTAAGAGGAAACAGATATGCCGTACAAATGAAGATGAATGACCAAAGTCAGTCCAGTTTAAAGTGAGGGAATATGTGGTCTTTCAGATAGTGCAGGAGATGGTGTGAGCTGGAACTTCCATTAGCTTTGGCCAGCACAGCCAGTAGGAAGTTATGTTGGGAGTTGCAGTCTAACAATATCTGGTGAGCCACACATTCCCCACCCCTGGAGAGATGTTCATAATATTCTATTATACTTCACTATGACATATTTTATTTGCTGATGAAAGACTGTTCAATTTGATATAATAAAATGACAAAAGAAGATAGCATTCAAAAAGATTTGTCTAGCATGACAGTATGACAATGATATGAAAAATCAGAGGACTGGAAAACATCAAAACCATACGCCAGGAAATCCATTTAAGTACCAGAAATCTATGAACTCTACAAAATCTGCAAAAGAAAATTAGAGCTGGAACAGTGACCTAGCTGTTCACATTTAGAGGAATTAAAAAATATATCAATGTCAAAGAGCAGTCTCAAATCTCTACTGTGTGATAAGAGTCAAAGCCACATGTGGTGATAAACACTGTCTGATATAAAGCAATGCAGTTTTGTTCATATCTACCACACAGTTCAAGATGGAGGGCATCAGGGGCTGCGTGCCCTCAGAGAGCAACTGAAGCAGAGACAACAGGAGGGCCTGGCGTGCTCTGGTCCATGGGGTCATGAAGAGTTGGAAACGACTTAATGACTAAACAACCACCACACAGTTACTCACTGAAAAATATGAACTGTATCATTCCCTTCAGAGGTATGTTCAGTTCCTACCCGCATTGCCTTTAGGAAGGTTGTGAAGATATCTCTCTTCTAACTAGCTTTCCTGTTTTACAGTCATTAGGATGATTTTAACTTTTAAAAAATTATTATCACATTGTCATAGTTTTGTTGTCTCATTTGTTTCCATTGTGTTTTAAACAGTGTTTCTAAAAGCCACCTTGAGCATTATTCTTTAATGCAAAGGCAAAATAAAAATATAACAAATAATATAATGGCTGGAATCCAGATTTCCTAAAGGCGAAACAACTCACAGAATTCTCATTGCTGAAAATCATGATTTTAACTGATTTCCTCCTTACCCTGTATTCTCTCAACATGAGGAGTTGGAGAGTTTCTAGCAGAATGTGGGAAACGTCATATGGGAGGCAGGGAAAATAGAAGAATTACATCCCTGCTTCTTCTAGCAGGAACTTCGACTGGACTGTAATTCCATCTGAAAGTAGAAGCGACCCTCCTGTTCGCAGATGGGCAAACTGTGATCTACGTCCCATGAATTTACTACATAAAATTTATCTTGCCTTCATAGGTAAGTCTATGAACCTAGAACCTGCCACAATACAGGAAGTCTCCACTGCATGTCTGATTTAAAAAATAAATCATATCCAAAATTCAGTGGGAGCTAAAAATTATATTATACCAGTCTTAAAAATAAGAACTTTGAGGATAACACAGGAACGTTAGCCACTGTGCTATGTTTCTTTCCATTATGAAAAGAAAAGATGGGCCAAGATCCTGTTGTGTAACTTCGCACCCAGCACAACTCAGGTCAGGCACTTTTAACTTACATTAACTACTGTAAATTTAACTTGCACTAACTAAAAAGCTACCTTTTCCTTGTGTTAGGTTCTGAGGCTCCCTCAAGCTCCCTTTTGCCCAGGGGAAGCCTTTGAGAGCCTTGGGACACTGGAAAGCCTTTGAAATAAAAAAATAAATAAATAAAGCATATGCTGTCAAGTCAATTCTGACTTCTGGAGACCCTTTTCAGGGTTTTTTAGGTAGACAATACTCAGAAGAGGTTTATCATTCCCTTCTTCTTGAAGCATTTTTGGACTGTGCAGCTTGCCCAAGGCCACATAGGCTGGCTCTTCTGGGATGTATGATGGGGAACTGAACTCCCATCTCTGGCTCCACAGCCAGATATCTAAGTCACTGAGCTATGTAAAAATTCAAAAATCACCACACTAGGATTCGGATCACCACCACTCATCTACCAGCTATTTTTTACTATTAAAGTTTCCCTCCTGCTTCCTAAAGTCTTTCTCAGGGCAAAAAGAAACATTAAAAGGAATATTTAATTAATTTTACCTTTCCAGAAGTTAAAATAAATTTATCGAACACATAATGCATATCTTCTCTGGTGGGTTCTTCTTTAGTGTCTTGAGTTTCTCCTACTGCTTTGCAGTTGTGCGAGGTAGTTGATGTGTCAGTGCCTGAGCACATACTCTGTTGTGGATGCTCCATTACAGAACTCTTACTTTCAGTATCAGATAATTCTCTAACAGAATCTGTGCCATGGGATCTATGTTCACTAAAAACACAATGGACATTTAGCTTCTCTCCAGTTGAAGGCTCTTGATCATCCTTTGTTTTAACTGAATTTTGTTCTAATTCACAGCATTCGTTAGTAATAAGGGATACAGATTCCCTCCTGTCTTCAGAGTTTATGTTTACAATTTCTGGTGACTTTGCTAGCAAGCTTTCCAGGTTCTCACAGGTATATCTCCGGGACGTAGATTCTGTTTCAGTACATGCATTCAACTCACACTCTTGAATATTACATGCATGGCCTGTGTTCTGCTTCTCTGTAATAGTGGCCTCCTGCAGAAGGCAACAATTGGTTATAGGTTCTCCAGGTTTTCTGCTTCCAATTTTCCCCTTTTCCTTTTTCCTGGTATCCAGTTTGGCCTTGCTTCCATCTTTATTCTGTGGACATGCAAAATATTTGTATGCTGTCCTGAACCTCTCAAGGATGTACTCGAACACCATCTGGCTGTTCAGGCTCCGTGCAACATTTCTTTTTAGTGCAAAAGGATCTGGAAAAAGACAGACCAGTATTATGGTGGTGGTGATTTTTGAAATTAGCACTTTAAATACAATACCAACATAATGCATTTTAAATAGGCTGCCCACTTTGGTTGATGAATAAGTTAGAGTAATTAATAAATAGATAGCTTAGAGCAACTGATGAAAATACTAGGAGCCCCAACTTACTGGGATGCCCATTTGTAACTAGTGCAGCTATCTGGCAACACCTCTGTTGGAAATGGTGCCAGCTGCATAATTCACTAGTGTGGCGGATGCTTGAAGAGCCTTGATAGGCACAGCAGCCTTCCACTGGCCAGCTGCACAATTTGAATTCTTCCTCAGCATGCAGATCAGATTTTCGCTCCTGTCCGCTGCTCCAGCATAATGCTGGAGCACCCAGATCCCCCAGCCAGTCTGCAGCTTGCTGGCCTTTGGGGTAAGACTGACAAACAAAGCGGTTTCAGCAGCACCAGCAATTGAGTAACTGCAGACAGCTCAGCAGATTGGTTTTAAAAACATACCATTATTTTTAATGTATGTATATGTAAAAATTGCAGATGGCATCTACACAGAAGTACTCCTATGCATGTGAAAAAGAACACTGGTGCCTTTCCTAAGGATGATTGTTGCTGGAACAAATTATCTCCATTATCTAAAACAAAGAAAGTATTTTTTGTCTTCATCAGGACTATTGATTTCTGACATATTCAAATATAATTTAAATCATTAAAATCTGCATAAAGTTCATATAATTTCTTTACTCAGACAACAGTCCTAATTTTAAAACATGTAAATATTGACCAATTAACTCTAATAGAAATAGGTACAGTGGTGCCGTGCATAGCGACGATAATCCGTTCCAGATAAATCGTCGTTATCCGGATTCATTGCTATGTGGGGCAAAAAACCCCCATAGGAATGCATTAAACCCTGTTTAATGCGTTCCTATGAGGGCATCCGGACACCCCCTACCCTGCTGGCGCCGCACTGAGAGCCTTCCGAGCTCTCAAGGGGCTTACTCCAATGTCGTGGGGGGCCTTTGAGAGCTCGGAAGGCAAATGTCGGCGGTGGCTTCGGGGTCCTTCCGAGGCCACCGCCCACCGCCGACATTTTCCCCCAGCTGAGCAGCGTGGCTCCCGCTGAGCTGGGGGGAAATGCCCCTTCCGAAGGGGAACTCAGGCGGTGGCTTCCGAAGGGTCCTTCCGAGGCCACCACCACGAGGATTCCCCTTCGGAGGGGACATTTTCCCTGAGCTGAGCGGGAGACCCACCGCTCAGCTGGGGGAAAATGCCGGCGGTCGGCAGCAGCCTCGGAAGGACCCTGAAGCCACCGCCGACCGCCAACATTTGCCTTCCGAGCTCTCAAAGGCCCCCCACGACATTGGAGTAAGCCCCTTGAGAGCTCGGAAGGCTCTCAGTGCGGCGCCAGCAGGGTAGGGGGTGTCCGGATGCCCTCCAGGCGAAGCACTGAAAGGCATCCGGATCCCCCCCACCCTGCCGCCGCCGCTTGGATCCACGCCGCGGCCGGTCTCCTAGCCATGCTGACTCCCAGGAGTCCAACCATGGCTGGGAGACCGGCCGCGGTGCAGCTCCAAACCCGGGATGCCTGAAAGGCATGTGGACCCCCACCCACCCTGGTCCTTCCGAGGCCACCGCCCGCATTTTCCCCCAGCTGAGCGACGGGGCTCCCGCTCAGCTCGGGGAAAATGCCCCCTCCGAAGGGGAATGCCTGCAGTGGCCTTGGAAGGACCCTTCGGAAGGGTCCTTCCGAGGCCACCGCCCACATTTTCCCCCGGAGTGGTCCTTTGGAGGCTCCCGCCGCTCAGCTGGGGGAAAATGAGGCCTATGGGGATAAATCGCTTTGCGATTTTTCCCCACAGGCAACATCGCAATGCGATCGCAAAAGCGATCACAAAAAAGCCATCGCTATACGGACTTGTCGTTAAACGGGGTGCTCGTTAAGCGAGGCACCACTGCATTTTGTGTTTTAACGAAAACTTAGTTGTGCTCTTTTGATGATTCCGAAAAGACAGCTTCTAAAACACAAATGATCTATATGAACGGAAGAGGCATATACAACAGTTTTGTGGTTTTTCATGTCTGGTCTACTATGTAATCATTCTTTTACTCTTTGTCTGTCAAGCTACTCATGATATTTTTCATCCTATAGCATGACAAGGGCTGCTGAGAGCAGCCATTCAGAATATACAGAGAGTGGAACAAGAATTCTGAATCTGTGAAAGGGCCTGAAATGATTGAAACCCAGTGAGGAGTGCTCCTTCTTTCCTTCAGTTGCTCTCTGTGGGCATGCAGACCCTAATGCCCTCGATCTTGAACTGTGTTGCCTGCCTGCCTGCCTCTGTGCCTCCATGCTTTCTTTTTCTGCCTTTGTTACAATAAAATTGGCGGATTCCCCCCTCTCATTTTGGTGGGATTATTTTTGATGCCATCACTAGGCAGTCTGCCTGTGCCAGTATGACTCCTTCAGATTAGTTTTTTAATCAATATACTGTACCCTCATTTCTTTGGTGTTTTCACCCCTTTTTAAAAAATTTTACTTTATTTGGGGCAAGGTCTTCCTTTTTGGATTAGTTTTGCTGCTGTCTGTTGAACTCAAAGAAGAGTGATGGAGGGAGAAAAATCTCCAATATTCTAGTAGTTTTGGTTTGGAAGTGTTCTGATAGTATTTTTTGCCTTTATTTGCTTGCTTGCTTTTCTTAGTTTTCAGGAGGGGGCTATGTCTATTCTTTTCATTTTGCTATTTTCCCCTCTGTGTATGTGTGTGTGTTTGCTTTTCCTGTTTAATTGATTTTTAAAAAACTAAATTTACTGTGTATTTATTCTGTTAAATGTGTGCATTTCAACTGAGATTTCGTGAGACTATTTTGTTTGTGCTTTTTTTGGGAGATTTTAAGGGTTCTTTGGTGCTTTTGCAGTACCAGAAAACACAATAAGGGAAACCAAAAGTGGCTTTCCTTTTGTATAAAATGAAAAGGACTGGTGCACAAAAATAAATAAATAAAGGGAGGGGGGAACAGTGATATCTCCATAGCTTCCTGTGCATTAATAAATAAATAAATAAATGAATGAATGAATGAATGAATGAATGAATGAATGAATGAATGAATGAATGAATGAATGAATGAATGAATAAATAAATAAATAAATAAATAAATAAGAATAAAAGAGGTACCACCACAAAAAGAGCCCAATATGAAACAAACAGGAACATTTTCACTGTGCACAGCCTTACCCTAAATTTTATACATAAAATTTCATCTGTAGCATGTAACTGTTTCTGTTACAAGGCTGAATGACAGTATAATAAAAACAGGGAGAACAAGAATCCTCTGCCCATTAGTGTGCCCAATTATCGCATTATAATAAATGAAGATAATGCACTGCCAATGTAGGCCAAATCTTAAAGCTACATCCGCTACAGTATTTTGGGGTAAAAGTATAGAGGAATAGGAACAGCATGTTTCTTGCCAAAATAAGGAATTATTACCCTAACTCAGGAACAGCATTATAAGAACGTTACTCCTTTAGAAATAGATTTATTTAACCAAACATAATAGAATACAAGGTTAACAGTTAAAGTACACCTGTAAATTAGTATTTCCAAATCATTTTGCTCAGATAAGAGCCAGTGAGCAAGGACAAATATTTGACCAACACATAAAGAAAATCTGTAAATTTTGCAATTTTACATAGTATAGTTTAAAATAATATGAAATACAGTAACATTTATGCAGAAAATTAGGTAATTAAGGCAAAGATAAATCATTACAAAAGATTTTATTACAAAACATAATGCCCCCACCTTCAATGGCTATTCGTCTTTTAGGCCAAGTTTTGTTCTCTCTGGTTAAAAGATCTTGTACCCGTATGCTGATCACATATTCTTCCAAAGCAAATTCCAGTGTATAAAACTTCAACAGTTCTAACCACAGTTGTCCTAAAGATATCTGCTGTGGTGTTTCCAATGCTAAAGGAGACTGAAAGAAATAAAAAAAGGAAATTTAGAATTCTATATTTTGCGGCCATTAAATTGTGAAATTTTAAAAAGAGAATCAAGAATTTTCTTTTTATCACTTACTCTGCCACATTTCTCCTTTGGATTGTTTTGGGAGTCTGTTTCTAAGGTTGCTGCATTCTTGCTATTACTTCTGTGCTGTTCACTTCTATTTTTTCCTTCCACACCATTCATGTTTTTCCCCACACCATTATGCAATGGTTTGTATTCCCACACTACAAACTTTTCATCTACTATTCCTTTCAGCTGGTAGTCATCAGCTTTCTTAGAGTCAAAACCTTCAATCTGAATAATCAAAACAAATTCGTTCAACAAACAAGATCATATGCTATGTACAGAAAGCTTCAGATATTATGCTACAGATTTTGGCTTAAAAGTAGATTCTCAACAAAGATCCAAAAGCTACTTTAGATATGTAAAATGATTTTTTTTAACTGCATTGGATCTATGGTACTAGTTATATGATTCTTGGAATATGGATATTTCTATTTTAAAAAACTCACCCAACTGCCTAAATATGATGGTAGTATACGTGGTTCTCTTTGCTGAAGGAAAAATATCACCATTAAGGCAAAGGAATAGGAGGGGATCCCACCTTCTGCTTGGCAGTCAATATGGCACAACTAGAAAAAGAGAAACGACAGCTCTTAGTCTATCAAGTAGAATCTGCAAAAAGTCGCATATACAGCAAACAAAAATATGTTTTTTATTTAAAAAAACTTACTCTTTCTTAAAACCTTTATTGGCATTAAAAGGGGATAAAACAGCAGTAACAATTTATGTCATAGTGTTACAAACCAAGAAGGACGGTCGTGAAGGTAAGAACTTACTCTAGCCCAGTAACGAAAAGCCAACACCAATGGAACAAGGACTGGCTCTAGTTTGCCAAGCGCAGCTAGCAAATCAGTTGTAAGGCAGGCCACATCATTCCCAGCACTTACTTTGCAGATTAAGCCACTGATAGAGAAAGAAATTGTGAAAACATGTAAGTTGTATAATTGTTTCCCAGTGAGTTAACATAGCAATAAACATGCAAGCCTTGCCATATATATTGCCTACACTGGTTTAGTTCCTTGTGTTGATATTTTCCCCAAATGCTGAGATCTATTTATTACTTTGCACACAACCCAGTTAAAACTTTATGTATTTTAACTTCTAGTGGATTCAATGAGAGTTAATAATATGCTGCAATTTCTGCCACTGGAACCAGTGGAAGTAAAATATGCTTAATATTTTGGATGAACTGAACTGTGCTTTGTTGTTTTTGAGATATCTATAAAGAGCTCCTGCTCCTTGGCAAAGTGAGGAAGCTGTTCTAAAACTAGTTCCAAAATAAAGAACTGTGCTTTATCTAAAACAGATTGCAAAAATACTAAACACATTTTGATATGATGGCAATATTCCTTTTAAAATGAACACATAATACGAAGTGCACAAACCTGTTAATATCTCTACAAAAAACAACAGGTACTTTGGCATGGAAATCTGATTCTACATCAGAGTAAGAATCTGGAAGAGGAAAGAATAAATAAGTACATCAGGAGACAGAACATCTTCTAGTGTTCTCTTAATTCAAGTGGATAATATAAAAGGTTAGAAGTGTGCTATGTCCTTTATCCAGTCCCTTTATGTTTCAAGCATTAAGTCCAAATATCTAGCATATAGGTTAGAAATGATGAACTAGCAAACTTACCACTGTTTTTTAAGATCTCAAGCACCTGTATCAGAACATCTGGATGACTCATCTAAAATAATGAACAAGATGGTTAGTTTACCCTCATTTTGATTCCATAAAAGTAAATGGAACAACCATATTCTTAACAATCATAAAGTACAACAAAAGCCTCTGTTTGCTTGCACAAAGGAACTTGCCTCTAGAATCTAAATCAAAGCTCCATGTGTCTTGCCCCATAAACAGCCAGCTTTGGTACAGTAGTGGGACATGTGAGCAAGATACCCAGAATCTTGTATTGTTTTAAGCATAAGCATACCAGCTACTTCAGCCTAGAGAACACATATGCACTCAATATAGTATGTGTCTAGTTTCCCCAGAATTATCCTAGACCGGAGAGAAGTGCTACAGATATTATTGAAGTATCTGAAATTCATCAAGTCTCACCCCAAAGATTTCAAGGGAACCAGGATGACAGTACTCCTGGTCCCTACAGCTATATACTGGTGACTGGATTTGCTGCAGCCACTTGACATCCACTACTCTGATTTCTATTGATCCCCATTAAATGCCCAGAATAGGTCGAGTTCTAAATTGCCTAGCGAAGGTAGCAAAACCTTTTCAACCTGAGGATTTCTCACCCACATCAATAAGCGGGCAGTCCACAAGTATGCTTCCTAATTCCTACAGCCAAAGGCCAGCACACAAGGTTTCTCCAAAGCCAAATCAGTTCATCCTGCTTTGTTTACATCTCAAAAAAGTCTGAGTTCCTCAAAGGTTTTATTGGACCTTCTCAGGTTCACTTATTTGTTAAAATATAACAGCTAGGCTGGTCTTGCAGAAGTAATCTTGCAGTACCCTAAAGGCTAATAAACCTATTTGGACAAAAGCATTTGTAAACTAAAATCCAACAAATGCACAAAAAGCAGAACCATCCAATACTTTCCTTCTCTCACTCCTTGATCAAAGGAATATCCTAATGTTTTGTCAGATGCAAGCCCCAATAGCACCAAAAGAACTTATTTCTAAGTTAGTATGCTTTATATTACAGCCTCCTTCCTTTACTCATATCACAAACAACTTAACCATTAAGATTAAGATATACATGGTGCCTCGCTTGACGATGTTAATCCGTTCCAGCGAAATCGCTGTAGAGTGAAATTGTCGTCAAGCGGGGGGAAACCATTGAAATGCATTGAAAACCGGTTCAATGCATTCCAATGGGTTAAATCCCTAATCGTCCAGTGAAGATCCTTCATAGGGCAGCCATTTTTCGGTGCCTGTACAGCGAAAAATCCATCCTAAAAACTGTGGGGCGCCATTTTGCACAGTGGGCAGCCATTTTGAGAGCTGCCGATCAGCTGTTTTCAGATCATCGCAATGCGAAGAATCAGTTCCTGAAGCAGGGAACCAATCATCGTAAAGCCATTTTTCCCATTAAAACATCGTTTTGTGATCAGAAAAACCTCATCGTCAAGCAGATTCGACATTTAACGAGGTAATCATTAAGCGGGGCACCACTGTACTATATTCCATCAATGTACAAGGTAAACTCTTGTCTCAAAGGGGAGAAATGGCAATCATAATATTAAGTATAATTCTGAAGGAACAAGACTGGACTGAAATATGCTTAAACATAGTACAATTTCTGACAGAATGTTCTCAGAGTGCTTACTTAATGTAGTTCTAGGTCAAGGACTTCACTGTTGGTTCAAAACAAACTGTATTAGTTGGGGGGGAATCTTTTAAAAATATAAATATAAAATACATCTAGTAACAAGATGTCATTGTTATTTCCCCAACTTACCATAGAAGGAAATTTGATATCAATATTAATATCACTGGTTTTGAAAGCAAATCTAGTTAGACAGGATCCATACATCCTCAATGAACATTCTGAAAATAATACAAGAATTTGATAATCAATCATGTGAATTCATAACTGTTTTTAATATTTTGATGATACTACAATAGTTTTGAAGGAAAACTATTCAGAGATTGTATAAGAACTTATTATTTTCACTTCCAATTGTAAGGTGCTTTTAGATTTTAAAAAAGATATATTAATTAGTTCATTCATATTGGCAAATAATAGAATGAACTAACTCTGAACTAATTTCACTGCCAATTTCACATCCCTTCCATAGTTCAAAGATAAAGCTAACAGAGACACTAACTTGTCTCTTCTCAATAAACGTCATCTCTTTGCACTAGACATAAGCACCAAGTGTGATTATTCCTTAAAAAAAGTATTTCAGAACAGCTTACATAAACATCAGCTCCATGCTGCTTGCCAACACAAGTATATAAGTGTACACTGTATGTGTATGAAGAAGCCCTCAGAAGTTTTACAGACAAAAATGATACTATAAGAGCCAGATTTAACTATTGGTCTGTTAATTCTGTGTATTTCCTTATTAAAATTGTTAAAATGTTTGGCCTTATTATTAAAAGACACAGTAGAATCTAATTTGTCTTCTACACTCATCGTTTCTCACATCCAAATGTTGGTGGAGTTTTATTTTTAATGTGAATTTTAAAAAATAAATTATTTGAACCTGTTTCCTCTGTAATTCTGATATGGAATGAGACACAAGTAGGCTAATTAATTTTGTGTCTGTTCACACTGTTGTTTCCTAATTATGGATATTTTATATCCAGTTAAAAATATAGCTTTGATATATTAGAAGCAAAGCATTTATGTACATTGAAGAAATCAAAGAAGGTAAGGTTGGACTTCATCTCCCTGAAACATTCCATTTATAAACAAGAAAGTGAAATAATCATAAAATCATAAAGTTGGCCTATAAGGCCATCAAGTCCAGCCCCCTGCTCAGTACAGGAATACAAATCAAAGGATATCTGTCAGGTAGTTGTCCAAATTTATTTTGAATGCCTCCTGTTCTGGAGTACTCACCACCTCTAGAGTTTGTACTGCTCTAACAGTTAGGAAGTTTTTCCTGATATTCAACCAAAATCTGGCTTCCTGTAACTTGAACCCACTGTTCAAGTGTTGGTGAGCAAGGTATCCCCCATCTTATAACTGTGTGTTTTCTTTCTTTTTCCTAGGTGCAGCACTTTGCACTCATCCCTGTTGAATTTCATTCCGTTGTTTTCAGCCCAGTGCTCAAGCCTATCCAGATCATTTTGTTTCTGTCTTCCAGGATGATAGCTATTCCACCCAATTTTGTTTCATCTGCAAATCTGATTAGCATTCTCTGCACCCCCTTATCCATGTCATTGATAAAAATGTTGAATAGCCCAGGGGTACCCCACTTGTTACCTCCTCTCAGTTTGAGAAGGAGCCATTAATCATCACTCTCTGAGTACAATTCTGTAGCCAACTGTGCATCCAGCCTACACCTAGTTACTGTATTTTTCAGTGTATAAGACTATACTTTTGTCTAAAACCTTTAGACTAAAAATTGAGGGTCATCTTATACACGGAAGTAAGCTTAGGAGAGAACAAAAACAAGTGGACCGGAAAGCAGATATCAAAGTGATCCTGCAGGGCTTTGATCCCTGCTTTCCCCTCCACTTGCCAAGCCTTAGCACAAGGAAAGCAGGGATCAAAGCGCTGTAGTATGGCTTTGATCCCTGCTTTCCCCTCTGCTTACTAAGTCCCATGGAGCTTAGCAAAAGGAGGAGGGAAAGGATCAAAGCAAAGTATAAAGGGGAAAGGGATCAAAACGATCATGCTGTCATGGGACTGCTTTGATCTCCTTCCCCTTCCTTTTGCTAAACCCCGTGGGGCTTAGCACAAAGGGAGAAAGCAGGCATCGAAACGATCCTGCAGTGCTGATCCCTTTCCCTTACACTTGCTAAGCCCCACTTAGATTTCTTAATTTTGGGTTAGAAAAGTAGGGGTGTCTTTTACATGGGGATGTCTTATAGATGGAAAAATACAGTAGCTTGCTAATCAGAATATCATGGGGCACTTTGTCAAAAGCTTTGCTGAAGTCAAGATATACTATATCTACAACATTCCCTCTGTTTATTAGGGAGATTACCTGATCAAAATATGAGATTAGATTAGTCTGGCAGGATTTGTTATTGATAAATCCGTGCTGGCTTCTAGTTATTACTGTTTTGTTTTCTAGGTGTTTGCATAGAGACCGCATTATAATCTCTTTCAGAATTTTCCCTGGGATTGATGTCAGTCTGACAGCTCTGTAGTACTCAGGTTCCTCCTTTGTGCCCTTTTTGTAGATAGGGACAACATTAGCCCTCCTCCAGTCGTCTGGCACCTCACCCATTTCCCATGATTTGAAGAAAATAATGGACAGTGGTTCTGAGAGTTCTTCAACCAGTTCCTTCAATACTCTTGGAAGCAGTTCACCTGCCCTTGAAATGTTAGCTTATTCAAGGTAATAAGGTATTCCTTGACTATTTGTTTATCATTCTCCAGCTGCAATCTTGTCCCCTCCACCTGCACTTCAAATTTGTCTGTTATTCATAATTCATCCCTTTAAATCTATTGCACAGCTAACACTACAAAAATGTAAAAATTGGTCATAGGGGGAATCTCTAAAAAACAAATAACAAAAAACTGATAAGGAATGCCAAAAAATGCAAATGCCATTCAGTTTTGCAGCATTCTAAAACTATTTTGCACAGTTGAATACATGGAAATCAACTACCATATTTTTCTGTGTATAAGAACCCCCCCAACTTTTCTAACCCAAAATTAAGAAATCTAAGTGGGGCTTAGTAAGTGGAGGGAAAAAGCAGAGATCAAAGTGCTGCATGATTGCTTTGATCCCTGCTTTTGCCTTTCTTGCTAAGCCTGCTTAGCAAGTGGAGGGGGAAGACATGGATCCAAGCGCTTTGATTTCTGCTTTCCCCCTCCACTTTCTTGTGAAGAAAGTGGAGGGGGAAAGCCCTTTCTTTGCAAGGAAGTGGAGAGGGAAAGCAGAGATCAAAGCGCGTTGATCCCTTCCCCCCTCCTTACTTCCATGTATAAGACGACCCTCAATTTTAATCTAAAGATTTTATACATGGAAAAATATGGTATATGCCCACAATGTTATTTTTTAAAACATGAAATACTTTCCTGCAAAACAGTGATGACTCTGCATAATTACCTGGCAGGTGCTCCTGAATTATTTTCTCCATGCCACATACAATTTCTTGGCGGATTTTAAAATCATAATCTGATATGCCTTGTTCCTTTGCTGCCTCCATCAGAACACTACTCAAAGCAGACACTTGTGCAAGGGAAGGGGGAGGGAGGGCACGCAGTTCATTTTCTTCTTGCTTTTCCTGAAGAATATTATGATAAATATTAGTGTTATTACTGAAGGTGACATTTCAAATCTCATTCTGATTTACTTCCTGAAATTTCCTTAGATGTTGAATATTATCCCAAAGCAAAAACAGTGCATGGAAATGACATGATACCAAAAGGTCCCTCACAATAGGAACTGAAGATCTCATAAGCAACCCTACATGGCTTTGGTGATCCTACATATCACAGTTGTGCAATACAAGAAGGTGGCACTTCTTCCTAGGAAGAAACCGAGCTTGGTGGCATACGATATTGGTAATTATAGGCCCGTCGACAATGTTTCTTTCCTCAGCAAGGTAGTTGAGAGGGTGGTGGCTGATCAGCTGCAAGCTCTTCTGGATGAAAACAATGCCCTGGATCAATTCCAGTCGGGCTTCAGGTCACACCATAGCACAGAAACAGCATTGGTCGCCCTGTTTGATGACCTGCTTAGGGAGGCCGATAGAGGCAAAATGTCTCTGCTGGTCTTCCTCGACATCTCAGCCGCCTTTGATACCGTCGACCATGGTATTCTTCTGGGGAGGCTCCAGAGAGTGCAGATTGGAGAGTTTCTTGGCCCTGTGGTGCCTCAGTTGTGGGGTTCCGTGGGGATCAATTATCCAATGCTGTTTAATATCTATATGAGGCTGCTGGGAGGGGTCATCAGGGGATTTGGGGCTTCATGTCATCAGCACGCTGATGATACTCAGCTCTACATCTCTTTTTTTCCCCAACAACAGTGGATGCTGTTTCATCCCTTGAGTGCTGCCTGGGGGCTGTTCAGCAATGGATGCAAGGTGAATGGACTGAGGCTGAATCCAGGCAAGATGGAGGTCCTTCGGGTGGGTGCTCCAGACATCAGTGGTCTGGGAAACTCCCTTTTCTTTGGGGGGCGACTCTTACCACCAAGAGTGAGGTTCACAGCTTGGGTGTACATCTGGACCTGGCGCTCACCATAGAGACCCAGGTGTCATCAGTAGTCTGTTCCACACATTTCCACCTTCAGCAGATTGCCCAGCTGCATCCCTATCTTGATGTGAGGGTGCTCACCACTTTAGTCCATGGTCTTGTAGTCTCAAGATTAGACTACTGTAATGCGTTCTATGTTGGGCTGCCTTTGAGTTTGACACAGAAACTTCAGATGGTACAAAATGCAGTGGCCAGACTTCTAACTCATGTTAAAAGGTACCAACATATTTCCCCCATGCTGGCTGCCTTGCATTGGCTGCCCATTTGTTTCCATGTTGATTTCAAAATTCTTACAATTACATATAAAGTCCTAAATGGTTTAGGACCTTGATAACTGGCAGAGCGCCTTTTCCCACCCAGTTACTCGTTCCAGCCAGGTTGGGTGGCTGTGGGGCCTAACGCCGAGGGAGGTCCAGAAGGAAAGAACGAGGAACCAGGCCTTCTCAGCAATGGCCCCTCGCCTCTGGAACAACTTGCCTGTGGAGATCCGCCTGGCTTCCTCTCTGAGTGTCTTCAGAAGCAAACTCAAGACCTGGCTATTTGGGCAGGGTTTCCCTCCTGCTATATCTTAAATTCACATCTTACCATCTTGGATTTAAAGTGTATGTTTATTGGTTTTAACTGTTTTTAAGCCTATAATGCTGCCCAATAGATCTTTGGTCTAGATGGGCAGGGCAATTAATTAATCAATCAATCAATCAAACAAACAAACAAATAAACAAACATATTTTGCTTCAGTCCATATAAGCTGTCCTGTAGGCATGCTGCAAGGTTCAACCTTGCTAGCTGTATCATTAATATCCAGACACTACCAATACACCAATAACACACAGCTCTATTTCTTTTTCCTCCTGTTCAGGAGTAGCAACAGACCATGCAGTTTGCTCAAGGCTATACAGCTGGATCCTCTTCTGGGATCGAGCTCTCAGTCTCTGGGTCCACAGCCAGATACCTACATTACCATTAGTCTTTTTATTTGTTGTTTTGGACTGCAGGAACTTTGGAGTGGAGATTTTTATTTGTTTTTACTTCTGTGCAGAGCCATGTCTGATAGAGCTACACAAATAAATACTAATAATGATTATAATACTACAGCTACTACTAACAGTAATAATAAATTGGGCTATATTTTTACATGTTTGCAATTTTATGTTTACTGAGATGTCCTAAGGGCCATATGGGGGAAGGACAGTAGTGAGGAAGAGAGACAGAATTATCTCATCAGTAAATCAATCATTTTTTCCTAAGAGCAGTAATATTGTTGCACAGCAAAAGTCTGATATTTGTTTACTATGGTTAACCAGGTGATTTTTAAAAGTTAGTGAAAACTAAAAAGCTAGCTAGAGAGGTCTCCACCAATATAATAAATCTGAAGCCTGGAACTAGCAATGCTTACCGTTATGTTCTTTTTATGCCGTTTTTCTTTAATATGCTTGTGAGCTCCTTGGATATTTTCAATGTGGACTATGCAGAGCCTGCATAAGTACTGGCAATTAGAATACTCTGGAGAACGCTGTGGGGGAAAACTCACATGTTTAAAATTCAGCAGGAACTTAATCGTATTTGTTTGCCTATCCATCGTGACAATAATTACCACTACCAAGCACATCTACTCCAGAAAAATATAGCAGCTATGAAGACTGTTCTTACCAATCATAGTAGGATATGGTAGTTATTCATATATTATATTTTTATATCATTTACAGTAGAACCACTTTTGTTCATGTTTCTTTCAAGCTGCCAAGATAGGTGCAATGAGAAAACTGTAATACACCAAGAAATCTAGATTTATCTAATCTTACAACAAAACTCAGAACCTCTAGTTAAATCAATGAATATATACCTATTTTGTTCAAATGCTTCTAAGAAGAAATTAAGATAGATGTTAGATGTTTGAAAAGATGGCAAAATAACAGTTATTTATGGAACTAGAGGATTCAAAAATATGTGTGAAAAATATGATATAAGGACAAGGACCATGTCATATTGGACAAAACAGTGGCCTCAAAGTTTTATGATGGTAATACTCAATCTAAAGAAGAAATATTGTTTGAGCCTCCCAAATCATAACAAGCAGGTACTGATATGGTTTATTCTTTTTATAAGTAAACTATAAAAGAGAACCATAAGCGTGTAGTTTCTGAGTAGCAAAATATTAGAGGATTATGAAGCAGATGTTTTTATAGCCCTTAGCAGTGTTTTTGAGTTTATTCATCTGTTCACTGGGCACATTATGATCTTGGAAAAAATACTTTTTACAAAGCCTATACATATTGATTGCTAGTATGTATCAAACACATCGTGCATACTGGCACATTCTTGCACTTTGACAAGTTTGCTTTTTCACATATTACCCCAAATGCTAAAAACAGACATTTCCTGAAAGCTACCCAAGTCAAGTCATACAGAGAGGAGGAAATGCACAAATGCTGGCTTGTCGTGGTATAGGAGGTAATATGAACAAGCTTGATCAGTGGTTCTCATGCATCTCATGTGAACAGGACCACAGTCAAGGGGAAACATGCCATCTATTTCATCCTAATTATGAGAAGACGTAATACAAATCTGATATATTTCCTATCAAACACACCAGCATCTAAAACACAGTTGAGAAGGACTTTACTCACAACCATTCTGTACTCCAAATTTTTATTAAAGACCAAGCCAGTGGCCATGCATCTCCCCCCCCCACAACTACATATGCAGAAATAGCCTAAAGAAGAAAATAATATAAATTGAACTCTGCTTACTTTTTCCAAGCGGATAATATAATCCCTTTCCAGTCGTTCTTCGGCTTGTTTCAAGCCTAGCTGCTGTTCTGCCATCAGTGTTGATTCATCAATTATAGCAATGTTTTCTAAAGAGGCAGTCTCTGCATTAGTTTCTTTTGCAGAATCAGAATGCTTTGCTGCACCTGGCATGAGAAAAAATCTGTAAATTAACTCTGTTTTTATAAGCAATTAAAAAGCACTTTATAATATCATTATAACTTTAATTTAACCAGTGCAATGTATTATGTGAACAAAGCAGCAGCTCCTCTGTGGAACTTACAACTAACTCATGAAATGTTGCTATTTATTTCCTAACATTAGCAGAACCTGCAATTTTCTCACAGCAGATAACTCCAGATATACTGTAGCTCTTGCTGCCTACCTCTCTATTAAGCTTATTCTCCCTTTGCTTAACTGGTTTTCAGGGTGTCCTGAAACATAGATCTCACATGAAGTACTTTTAGGCCTTAATCCTCAGACTATACTTACTTGTGCATAATGTCTCACAGCTACATGCAAGATACGTAAAGATTTAATGAGCAATGATTTTAAGCTATACTTTTCTTTTATCTCTTTTTTCCTCTGTATTAATGTTGTGACTGCCTTATAAATTTAACCTATATTATGGTCAATGTATTTTGCTGGTCATGGACTGTAATAATAAAAAACTAAAATAAGCTATTTATTTCCATTTTACAGATAATATACAGTATAAAGAGATTTGTAATAGAGCAAACCTTGCTCTAGTCAATTATCTCCATATCTAAAGCTCAAGTCTTAATTCTGAGTTCAAAAAGCACCTATTGAATTCACAAATGCTGTATCACACGGGGAGATAAGAAACATCAGCTCTGTTAATGTTATCCATACTGAGTCTATAAATATGACAAAATATGATGACAGAATGGTCAGTCATGCTTCAGACCACATTTGAATCATGACTTATTTAACTCCATTCAGATAGAGATAGCATATCAGAAAGATTTCATACTAGATTTCTGTGTGGCTTGCTGGTTTTCTATTTGCATTGAGTATGAAAAGAATGTTTTTCAACTAGCTGAATTTTTTGATAATACTCATGAAGCTAAAATGTACAAAAACTGTTTTAAACATATTTCAAACTGGATTAACGTTTTTCTCTTCTTTCATAAAAACTGAAAGCTGTACTCACAGGAGTCTTCAGACATCTGTTCCACTGGTCTCACATCCAAACTATTTTCGCCTGAATCATTAGGCCAGTTTATATTAACTTTGGATGAATCCTCTCTTGGTTGATTTTCCAGCTCAGAACTTTGCATAGTTGCTAAGGTTACTGTGCTGGCACCATTCTGCAAAATATGGGAGTTTGGAGGTTTTTCATCCACATGTTGAAGTCTTAACTGTTTCAGGCATTCTGTGCCTTCTGGTACATTTGGTAATCTTTTTGTTTTGCTTCGACTTTGATCCTGAAGACTTGATTCCGCGTCCTTCAATCCAGAAATACGACTGTTTGTTTTACATGATTTATTTTCTCCTGATTTTTCAGGACAATTATCATTCTGCTTATTCTTTTTGAAACTGTTCCCACCTGAAGAACTTCTCCCAGTTTCTTTTATGGATTTCTCATGTTTGTTAGTTTTAAAATGTTGATTGGTTGCAGCTCTTGTACTTTTGCTTTCTTCACAGACAACACGGGCAGATTTTCTTGCATCATGATTTCCACTTTTTGAGCTCCTGCCCTCTTCCATTATTGAGAAGACCTGCTTCGTCTATCACTTGAGACTACAGTATTTGAAATGAAATTTTGCAACAATCTGAGCCGACCTAAATCCTCTGTTCAAGCAGGGTATCTGGCTGATTGTCTGTGGGGAAGATTATGTTGCTCTTTGAAAAACATAATATGATAAAACAACATAACTATTTGTTCATCAACATAACCCCCAATATTTTGCTTTTTCACCAGAAAAGAAAAGTTAGGGAGGGAACAGAAACAAAAAGCAATCAAACAGTCCAATCATATTGTAAGGAGTTATTGTTTAAATTAGTGCACTACATTGAATAGTATCTTTTAAATTCTTTGGTGACAACAAGAGCAGCAAAACAGAGAGGAAAATAAACATTCTTATATCCTATTCATGCTCTTCTTTGAGATATGCTAGTCCACGGGTTCTCAAATGGGTTGGGGAAGAAACTTGAAGAGGAGAATGATACCATGAGATCTGTTCTTAGATTTGTTACCATTGTCATATTAATATTGAAATTTCTTAAGATCTTCTTGTTAATAGTGAGTAATAAGGTGTAAAAACACCTTATTAAAATTATTGCAGCATTCACTTAGTATAGAAAAAAAACCACAAATACAAAGTTAAGTTCTTTAAAAGCTTAAAGAATAAGCATCCAAAGTAGTGGCTCCACAACTAGCAAGGTTGTGTATATATATGTAAATAAATAACATAACATAACAATTTATATCAGTGACCTGTAACTGAAACTTACATAGTTTTATGGTCTATTAATAAGGCAGTTTGGATTTGATTCAGACTACTGAAGAACCAGCTAAGTTTCACTTCCATTTCCTGTTAGTTTTTTGGTTTCATATCTGTTATTTTCCATGAATTTGAGTGTCAGCATGTCAAGGATTTCAAAATACAAATAACATAGTTGTACAATTGGGACAAAAAGCATGGAGCCATTTAACGTGGGGAAAAACCCTGCTCTTCACAGAGTTTTTAAACAATATCAAAAACTGAACTTAAATGTATGTGTATTATTACTCAGATTTTCTGAGATTCACAAAATACGTTAGTCAACTTTAAATGTTTATCCTAGTCTGGTGCATATTTACTTAGAGCACCCAACAGTTCAATGAGATGCATGTCCAAATGAATGTGCACAAAGCTTCAACTTCAGAAACTAACAAAAAGAAGATACAATGCACTATGGAAAAGATTATTTCCCTTTCCAATCTGTTGTATATTTTTAAAAGAAAGAATCAGAACTCCATCAAAAACAGTCTTTATTTTCATCTCATCTAAAATATGACCTTTTAGCAAATCACCCCTTATCAATTAATCAATCCAATGATTCATTCATTAAATATCTATTAAACCGATTACATTTACCAATGCTCATATTTTAACAATTAATGTTCGAAAGATGATTAAAATACAGAGGCTATATTAATATATTTTCCTTGTAAAACAATATCAGTAGATTAGGAACATTCCCATTCCATTCCCCCCACCACCAAAAAAAAAAAAAAAACCTGCAGGACTGAGGGTGGTACATTTATGCTACCATGCACTGGTAGTAGCAAGTAATGACTCCCAACGCTCTGGAAGGGCTCACAGAACAGATGGTCAGAAAAAGAAATGAAGAAATGTCACTTAGAGGACACACAGAATACTAACTGCCTATGATATTTGTACAGGATCCAGCTTGTAGTTATTACTTTGCAAGTGCCTAGAAGCCAACATAAAAATGTATCATCATAATTTTTTTACAATCTTTTAAGCAGTATTTTGTCATTCAAAATCTATAAAGTCTGGTTTCAACTTCTCTTTGCAATAGGAGAAATAAGAATTGAAGGGAGACATGCACTGCCTATTTGCTCTCAAAAGAGAGAACATTGGTACATGCTTGGCTATCAACCCCAAATGAAAAAAAATATTTATGTATCTCTTACACTTCTAATAAATATTAAAAACATATAGCAGTGTAAAAGTATATCAATTCCATGAGCCGAACACACACTAGTTTTTGACTGTCAATGGAAGGCCATCTATGAGGAAGCCAGATCAGATCCATAACTAGGGACTTCAAAGTCTCAGTATAACTGAACTGGTGGAGAAAAGTAACAAAAGAGAATGTACTCTGTATCTGCACTTCAAAGTCTTCCCAAGAATATCTAGAATGTACAATCCACAAGCAACTCCAGGAAAGCTCTGGTTTTCTAATTGCTGTTCTTTGTGCTGTTGCTTTGGAAATGGGAAATTCGGTTACAGTCTGTTCTCACACATATACACACATGCTTATTGTTTGCCTGGTGAGGAAAAACCAGAGAGGGATTTTGGCTTTACAGGATGTGTACAAATGGAATAGAGGGTTAGGAAAGAAATCTCAGGTGAAATGAACATCCACTCAATATTAAAAGGGGACATTTCATGTTAAGAGTTCAAGAAGAATTTGAAAATGAAAATATCCTTTATAAGGATATTTATAATATGTATTCGCGAAGGCTTTCTCAGCCGGGATCTAATGGTTGTTGTGGGTTTTTCGGGCTCTTTGGCCGTGTTCTGAAGGTATTTCTTCCTAACGTTTCACTAGTCTCTGTGGCCGACATCTTCAGAGGACAGCACTCTGTGCTCTGATGTAGTTGGCTTGGGAGTGCAGTATTTATAGCTGTGAGATAGGCTTTTGTCTTTTTCTGTAGATGGGTGATTAGTGTGTCTTGTTGTTGGGTGTATTGTTGTGCTGTGGTTGATGGGTGTCATTGGCTGGTCTTTAGTGTGTAGTGATCCCTTGTCATTGTGGCTGGGTAGAGTTCGTTGACCTTTTGCATGCTGTATTTTTGAGAGCTGGGAGCCAAGTTTTGTTGAGCTTGACTCTCCTCTTTTTTGTTGAAGTTTCCTCTTTTTTGTTGAACTTCTGCTGGTGCTCGTGGATTTCAATGGCTTCCCTGTGCAGACTGACATACTGATTGCTGGTGTTGTCCAGTATTTCAGTATTTTTAAATAGAATTTCACGTCCAGTTTGTTTTAGGGCATGTTCAGCTATTGCAGATTTTTCTGGTTGTTTTAGTCTGCAATGTCTCTCATGTTCTTTGATTCTGGTGTGGATGCGCAAAACGAAGCATCGACACCAGAATCAAAGAACATGAGAGACATTGCAGACTAAAACAACCAGAAAAATCTGCAATAGCTGAACATGCCCTAAATCAAACTAGACGTGAAATTCTATTTAAAAATACAGATATACTGGACAACACCAGCAATCAGTATGTCAGTCTGCACAGGGAAGCCATTGAAATCCACAATCACCAGCAGAACTTCAACAAAAAAGAGGAAAGTGTGAAGCTCAGCAAAACTTGGCTCCCAGCTCTCCAAAATACAGCATGCAAAAGGTCAATGAACTCTACCTAGCCACAAGGACAGGGGATCACTATACACAAAAGACCAACTAATGAGACCCATCAACCACAGTGACCGATAATCTCTTCTCCTTAGCACAATACACCCACACCAAGACACACTAATCACTCATCTACAGAAAAAGACAAAAGCCTATCTCACAGCTATAAATACTGCACTCTCAAGCCAACTACACCAGAACACAGAGTGCTGTCGTCTGAAGATGCGGGCCACAGAGACTGGCGAAACGCTAGGAAGAACAGCCTTCAGAACACGGCCAAAGAGCCCGAAAAACCCACAACAACCATATTTATAATATCCTTATAAAGAATTTCAAAGTGGTCATGCTTGAAAAACTGGACTATTTTGGTAACCTCACTTCAAAATGGATATTAGAGAGCTGAAATTCTACAAGGACAACATGGCAAACAGATAAGAGGTTCAAGAACTTCACTAAAAGAAAAAGCAACTGTATTACTTTTGTTTCCATTGATTAAGACACTTTCACCCAATTTTGATGAATTTCCACTCTTCCATAGGAGCACCCATGTCCTCCTGCTACAGGACAAATCTAGTACTATTCAGAACAATCTCTCAGTGCTATAGTTAGGCTATGGCAGAGAAGTGCAGAGCTCAGGAGGGGATGCAAAAGATCTGTTATAAAATTAGGCTTCTCCCTGAGCAACTGTAGGTCCAATACCCAGTTTAGTTTAAAAACCTTTAAACTTTTTTCTAAACCTTGAATACCAAATACCTTAGATACCAAATTCAGAAACCAAGTTTCTGAAAACCTTTCCAGATATTTATATGGCACATAAATATGGCATACCTTTTTGGGTTTTTAAAAATATTTTTCTTCATTAAATATAAGTGAAAACAACATATAGTATTGGCTGAAATTCTGCTGCAGAATTACACAAATGCCATAACTTTTGGAAACAAACTGTCATAAGTTAAGAAATCTTTGTAGACATTATCTACCACATATTGAGTCGTGCAACTCTGCATGCAACAGATAGCGTCTAGGGAGATTTCCTAACCTATGGCAATTCATCTCCAACAGTTAATGCTGTTGTTGCAACTGTGCAATAGGATTTCAGCCATTAAATCAGATGCTTATAGATCTATGGCAGTCTTTTTTTCAATTCAATTGGAGAGGGAACTATTTTTCTGGATAAACTTGTAAATAAGTAAAAAGAAATGAATGTTAAGCTAATCATGCAAAATATTTTAGATTCAGAACAAAAGTTAAATGTGTTTTTAATTGCTTGATTTTCAAGATAAGAAAAACATTAAAATTCTGTTAAGAATAAATTAATTTATAGCTAATAAAAAGATAACTGAATTTTCTAAAGATTTGCACCTTTTTAAAAAACTTTTTTTCAAAAATCCAGTTTCTTCTACTGGAATAAGTTGCAGATAATTTTGCAGTAAATAACTTCCACTGCCTTAGTTAGTCTGGGTACAAATATTCTGGATTTTTAAACAAAAACTGGTATGGTGCAGTGAAAAAACATGAGAAGGAAAAAAAAGGTATTGCAACAGTTGCAATTTTGTATACTAACACCGAGGTAGAGAGGAGTGGGGTAACTTTTAGAAGCAAAGCAAAAAGCTGCTATATACACGACCTTTACTCCCTG